GTCTATGTAAGCACAAAACATTGAGATAATTAAGTATACCCCCAATGGTTGTGAATAACGTAAATTGTATTGGCTGGTTGTGGATGTGGGTAGTTAGGTTGTGGTTGGGGAAGGGTTTAAGGGTAAGACTAGTGAGGATGTCTTGTGTCAAGTTTTATATTCGTTTGGAAATATTTCAGGTCAGACAATTACTGAAAGACGAATATGAACATTTACGTTAAGAGAATTGTCTTAAGGAATGCTAAATGTGTGGCTAAAAAATTTAACATGTGGATGGGGTATTAGGCATGTGCACCTCTGAGCAAGAGTTCTTCCCCTTTTGCAAACGATTAGTTACTTTTTCTCGCGAAGAGTGACAACAGTCGAACACTAGCTGATTTTTTTATATTTTTTTCCCTGCTCGCTCGCTACCAGATGGGTGTATAAGTGTGGGCAGTATATATCGTGTATTAACGTTCAAACACTTACCATGTAATCTGTTTCTTTTACCATTATGCACCAACCCCTCGTTACTCATCTGATAAATCATGACATTTACTGGAATGTCACACCGGCCATACCCCCTATCTCCCAGTTTTATCAATACATTATATGAATAAAAGTAAAATTCCATACATGAGCTAAAGTTTAAAATGAGGATTGATGTATTTCGTTGAAGCGTTTACATACTCGTTGGAGTATGTAAACATTCACGGGGTTGCCACATTTTCTATGCACCGAGAACGGGGGGTGGGGGGGGGGGGGGGGGGGTGTACCAGGTGTAATTGCAGGCATCTACACACTGTTTAGTTCTCAGGAGGTTCAGAAGAGGGATGACCGTTCTGCAAAATGTTAGTTTTTTTCTCGCTGAATTGAGTATATGCAATATAGGATGATGTACAAAAGTTGAATTGATATTCAGTAGTGTTCGTGGCACTTTAGGCTTTGATTCGGAAAACGAGTTGATTTCATGGTTTGGTTTGAGAACCGAATTTCATGGTCTTAATGCTTGTAATAAATTCATATTCAGATAAGCGGACATGCCAGTAGGTCTAGTTAGCGGCCGCAGGTGTAGATGGCGTCTAAAGCGGGGAAAGGACGGGGAACGAACCGTGGTGAATCTGACGCTATCTTCACGTGTAAAAAAGAGAGAGAGAAAAACAAAAACAAAAACAAAAAAAGGTTTATACATAAATTCAAATCACTAGGTGGTAGCTCTCATAAACTACATTATTCAACAGCCTCGCACAAATATCTCGCTGACATTCGTCTGTCATAGTAATGACTATCTCGCGTCAACTCGTAATGTTAATATTTTACCTAAAGTTTGTCTTTCATCGCCCAGGGTAGAATGAAGCAATGAAACAGTAATAACATTTCCCAAGCTTTAGTTCAAGATCAAAATGTACGACCAACACGTCGCACTGAAGTCACCCCTCGCAAAACCTTTTTATTTCCCGTTTTCTTCTTCCCAAAGGAGACGAAATGCGGGTGGGATTATTTTTGTCAACGACTGTACGTAGGGTTATGCACATGTTTATTTATGCGGATATATTCTCACATGCACACACGTACGCGCGCGCGCACACACGCACACGCGTGAAATGTGATAGGAAAGGAGGTTTTCGTATTCCGTTTGCCATTTCCTCTTTGCCCTTTTCATTGCTTTACTAACCTGCAGCGCTCTACAGATCATCTTGACCTCTCTCTCCC